TGCAAGAACCGATGCAAAGTACCTCCAGTCATTCTACTTTCTACTTCCTTATTCAACCCCTCTCCTGTATCCAACTATTATCCAGGTCTTGGCTGTATTAACCAAACTATTAGAAGCATGATTAAAAAAGTGCATGGCATACACAGTCATTCTGGCTAAAGACATTTCTCTAAATGACATGTTCAAGTCAGGGTCTGTATTCAAGTGTCATAGGAGTGCTGATCTAGGATCAGATCGCCTTGTCTTATTCATAATGATCTAAAAGGCAAAACTGATCCTACATCAGCACTCTTATAAGGCCCTGATATATTTTTATTTCCTTGTTTGTTAGTTGTTTTGTTAACTGGGCATGGGCAGAAACAGACCCGGACTAACAAAGAGGCTTTTGAGAGTCTCCCTCAGACCGAGGTGGGGATCAAATGTGCTTGCTTGAAAGGCAGTTGCCTAGTGATCTCCATAGGAACCGTTGGCCAGAATAAACTAACACAACAACTGTGGGGCAGCAGTCAAAAGAGAGAAAGCCATTGGTTGGTCATTCTGTATGCTTTAGCCAAAATGATTACTTTATTTGTAAAGCGATTGTTTTTCCTATCTACAGTATGTTTAAAAGTTAGTCATAGCAGTTGTCACACCCTGATCTGTTTCACCTGTCTTGTGATTGTCTCCAATCCCCACCAGGTGTCTCCCATTACCTAATGTGTATTTATACCTGTGTTTTCTGTTTGTCTGTTGCCAGTTCGTCTTGTCCCGTCAAGTCTTACCAGTGTGTTCCTGTGTTTCCTGTGCGCTTATTTTTGCTTTTTCTAGACTTCCCAGTTCTGACCTTTCTGCCTGTCCTGACCCTGATCCTGCCTGCTGTCCTGTACCTGCCTGACTCTGATTTGGATTACGACTCTTTGCCTGCTTTGACCTACCGATTGCCTGCCCTTGTTCAGAAATAAACTCTGAGACTCATACTATCCGCCTCCTGTGTCTGCATCTGGGTCTTACCCTGAGCCGTGATAGTACGAACTGGCCATGACTGACCCAGCAGATTTGGACCAGCTCCGCAACACTGTCTCCTCCCAAGGAGCCACCATTGGAAGACACGAGGGGTTACTACAAAGCCTTATGGAGGGACCATACCCTGGCGTTCAATACATTGCTGGAGCAATTCTGCGGATTCCCAACTAGGCTGCAAGCCACAACAGTAACCCCCCCAGACTCTCAGCAACCCCGCCACCAGCGGCGCTCCTTGCCAGCCTACCCTGGTGTCCCGAGAACCTCGCCTACCCCCTCCGGAGCGCTACGCTGGAGATTCTGGAACATGCCGGGCGTTTCTCTCCCAGTGCTCCCTCATCTTCGAGCTGCAGCCTTCTTCGTTCCCATCGGACCGCTCGAAGATAGCATACTTGATAACGCTGATGTCCGGGAGGGCCCTCGCCTGGGCTACGGTGGTGTGGGAGCAACAGTCCACCATTTGCCTCAGTCTGGATGAGTTTGTGGAGGAGGTATGAAAAGTCTTCGATTCTCCATTGTCCTTGAGACAGACTGCTCGTAAGCTGCTCCAACTACGTCAAGACTCCCGTAGTGTGGCAGACTACGCAGTGGATTTTCGCACGTTAGCGGCTGAAAGTGCCTGGAACCCGGAAGCCCTGTTCGACACGTTCCTTCGCAGATTATTTGAGGTGATTAAAGATGTGCTCGCAGCCCGGGAGCTGCCCATGGACCTCAACTCCCTCATAGCCTTGACCATCTGGATCGATGGGCGGCTACGGGAACGTAGGAGGGAGAGGGGGTCTGTTCCCTGTCGCCCTCGCTCGTCCTCGAATTCCACCTCGCCTCCTTGGAATCCCAGAAATCCCCAAAGTCTACATTTCCAAGAGAGTCAGGTGTCACCCGAGTTCCCTCGGAGAGCACCGAGGGCTGCAGACTCGCCGCCTCCGGAGCCCATGCAACTGGGCAGGGCTAGATTGTCTCCTGCTGAGCGCTTATGCAGACTGAACGCTAAGAGCTATCTGTATTGTGGAGCTACGGGACATTTCTTATCTACCTGCCATTAAAAGACCATGTTCATCAGTAGGTACGAGTACACTGGTGAGCCGTAAGGGGAGTTTCCAATCTCTCTCTACTCGTAACCCCCTCTATGCTACCCTGTTGTGGGGAGACCAGTCCAAATCCATCCGGATGCTCATTGACTCTGGGGCCGATGAGAGCTTAATGGACACTACCCTGGTGTTGGAGCTGGGTATCTCCACTCAACCCCTTTCTATCCCGATGGATGTCAGAGCGCTGGATGGGCGCTCTATGGGCAGAGTCACTCACAATACGGTTCCTATCAACCTGCAAGTGTCAGGCAACCACAGTGAGGCTATGCAGTTTCTGCTCCTGGAGTCTCCTCATGTACCCATGGTTTTGGGGTTTTCATGGCTCCAGAGGCTCAACCCCCTAATCGACTGGGCTACGGGTTCCATCATGGGTTGGAGTCCGTTTTGCCATGCACAATGTCTAAAGTCGGCGCAGCCTGTCCCGGGACGTCTCTCTGTGGGCTTGGGTAAAGCCTTGGATCTCTCCGCCATTCCCGCGGAGTACCTGGACTTACGGGAGGTTTTCAACTCTGCCCGCGCCACATCTCTTCCTCCGCATCAGCCCTACAACTGTGCAATCAACCTTCTCCCAGGCACCGACCAAAGCTATGGAAGGGTATGTTGAGGACTCTCTCACTGCAGGGATTTTGCGTCCATCTGCCTCCCCCGCCGGTTCAGGGTTCTTCTTTGTGGAGAAGAAGGACAAGGCCCTGCGTCCATGTATCGACTACCGGGGTCTTAATGACATTGAGGTAAGACAGTAGTTCTGCTTCTAGATTACCCGCTACCACTCATTTCCTCGGCTTTCAAGCCTCTCCAGGGGGCGGTCATCTTCACCAAGTTGGACCTTCTGAATGCCTACCATCTGGTTTGGATACGGGAAGGAGACGAGTGGAAGACAGCCTTCAACATGGCTAGCGGGCACTACGAGTACCTGGTGATGCCGTTCGGACTGACCAACGCTCCCGCAGTGTTCCAGGCCCTGGTCAATGATGTGCTCCGTGACATGTTGAACCGATTTGTGTTTGTCTACCTCGACGACATCCTCATTTATTCCTGGTCAGCTCAAGAGCACGTTCTCGTTGGCCGACAGGTCTCCAGCGTCTCCTGGAGAACCAGCTTTTCGTGAAGGCTGAGAAATGTGAGTTCCATCGCTCCACCATCTCCTTCCTAGGATACGTCATCGCTGCAGGGAATATTCAGATGGACCCTCTCTGCACTCAACTCTCCCAAGGTTCCGTTCATATGGTCTCCAGCAGCTGACCGGGCTTTCTCAGACCTCAAGCAGCGATTCACTTCAGCTCCCGTCAGTGGAGGTCAGAGTGGGGGCTGTCCTTTCCCAGCTTTCTGCCCAGGACCAGAAGCTGCATCCCTGCGCCTTCCTTTCCCATCGTCTTAATCCCGCTGAGAGGGTATGGCTTTCCACTCGGGATCTGCCCCTCCGAGTGGAGTCCCGCAAAACTTTCCCCCCGTTTTATCGGCCCTTTCCCCATCTCTAAGGTCCTTAGCCCCTCTGCTGTTCGCCTTCTGTTGCCCCGCACCCTCCGTATACATCCCACTTTCCATGTATCTAGAATCAAACCCCTGTCTCACAGCCCTTTGTCTCCTGTTTCCAGGCCCACCCCTCTCCCCGTATCATCGTCGGCCATCCGGCGTACAGGATGATGTGCCTACTGAGTGTTCGACCTCGAGGCAGGGGATTCCAGTAGCTGGTTGACTGGGAGGGCTATGGCTCGGAGGAGAGGTGTTGGGTCACCACCAGGAAAATCTTGGACCTAGCCCTCATCGCGGATTTCCGCCGTCGACACCCCGGTCAACCAGGTATGTCCCAGGGTAGGACGCCAGGTGGCACCCCTAGAGGGGGGGGTACTGTCACACCCTGATCTGTTTCACCTGTCTTGTGATTGTCTCCAACCCCCACCAGGTGTCTCCCATTACCTCATGTGTTCATCTTGTCCCGTCAAGTCCTACCAGCGTGTTCCTGTGTTTCCTGTGCCCTAGTTTTTGCTTTTTCTAGTCTTCCCAGCCTGTCCTGTCCTGACCCTGATCCTGCCTGCCGTCCTGTACCTGCCTGACTCTGATTTGGATTACAACTCTTTGCCTGCCTTGACCTACCGATTGCCTGCCCCTTGTTCAGTAATAAACTCTGAGACTCGTACTATCTGCCTCCTGTGTCTGCATCTGGGTCTTAGCATGAGCCGTGATAACCAGGTTCATTCACCTTTCAAATCAAACAAATCTGAATTAATGACCTACTGTTTAATGACATGGTGTGGGTGGCTGTATTTATCGTTCATGTACATGACAGAGACAGGAGGGAAGGCCAGTCAGCCAGGTCTTGTTCACTGAAACTTCACAGTTCATTTGAATCCAAATCCACAATTCTACAGTCAAATTAAAAAGGAACCTTCTTTTATTGTTATGTGAAATTCCATTCTGTGTAATTCCAAAGAATATCTGTGTTTTACCACAGTAATATTGTGACTTTTTATTTTAAAGATTTATTAAAATATAATCAAATGTGCTTAATTAGAGTGCAGGCAGCCACGGGTAGCGGATTGCTTCAATGACTTCTAAACTCTGAGAAAGAAACCCTGTTTTCTCATGCTCTCTGTCAGCTTCTGAAAGAAAAACAACACAAGCAGAGGAGTTAGCCCTTTAGTTTCCTAAAGTTTCCTGTTAGGCCTTCAATTTTCAACCCCAGGGTCTGTGTACAGTCTGGAAAACTTACACACAGAGCACTGCTCCTCATCACCTTCATCAGCAAACTAAAAGCACACAGAAGTCACAAGTCAGATGGAATGATTCCATTCAGTAATGTTCACTAATGATGTAAACACATGTGTTTCCTACAATCATTTATTTCAGCGTGGATGTGATTTCGATGCTTAAACCTTACCTTGCTGAGATTTTCCATCGAGGACCAATGCCTCAGTCTGGGACTGATGTTATCTTGGGGGTCCAATGCTGGAGGAGAACCCTGCTCACCATGACAGACACTTTCAAGCAGAGCCGGTGGTCCTCCAGGAAGGCCTCTGGCACCAGGGGGCGCTGTGAAGGGAAGTCCTTCTCAAAGTTGCTGTAGAGCAGGTCTCCCAGCCAGAGCTCCAGTGGACCATGGTTTTGGTTAGGCTCTGAAAGCCTCCTCAGTGCTCTTTGTAGGGCTCTGGTCTTCATAGCTTTTGCCAAGGCCTCTTGGACCAGGATGAATAGTTGCCTTGTCAGCTCCACACGTTTTTCAATCATCTCCTCTGTCCACGGAGAGAAGTCCTTCAGGTGGTAGATGGCATACACAAATCTGCCCAGGGTGTACATGAGGAGCATCTCTGGGACAATGCACAGCTTTGCGGCGGCCTGACAATGCTTGTGCTTGGGGCTCTTGTTCCAGAGCTTCTGGGCTCGACTGGGTTGTCACAGATCACAGAGGTTTTGCAAGGAAAATAGCTCTTGGTCTGATCACTCGCTGGTGGTGCAGTGGTGTGGGCCGGCTTGTTGGAGCCACCAGGGGTCAAGGAGAGGAGTTGGCCTGAGAAGGAGACCTGGACTCTGATCCTACCATCAAAGTGAAGGCAGCTCAGCAACATGCCTGCTGCTCGCAGAGTGACCTCTGACCCCGTAGTGGTGGATATTACCAATTCACCCACTCCCTGGGCACTCCCCAGGCCATGAGAGCGGCGGAACACTCGCACCAGGTCACTGAGGCAGTGGAGAGCTGCTACCCTCTGACTGGCAGTGGCAGGACAATGGAGAGGGACTTGAAGTTGGGTCATGGTTACCTCACGGCCCTCTGTGACCCCCAGACCACTGGACACAGCCTGAAGCCTATCACCCATTGCTCTCTGTGTCAACCTGCGAGACACAGGGGGGAAAGGTCAAAGGAGAGGGTCAGGATGGGCCAGATAACACCATCTCATCACAAGAGTGGGACCACATGAACAATAAAATATAATAAAATGAGCACTAACTTAAACACAATGTTAACTTCAAACCAGTGTTGGGGTCAATTCCATTTCAATTAGGTGAATACAGGAAGTAAACAGAAATTCCAAATCCATTTTTTTTCTCATAAAGAAACATTGAGGAAAATTGGGATTCGAACTGGAATTTCAGTTTACTTCTTGAATTGACTGAATTGAAAAGGAATTGATGGCATCCCTGCTTCAAACACACAGCTGGGCCTTTCACTAACAGCAAGTAGCACTTACAGGTTAGGCAGGTGGATGGGTGATGGGCGCAGCGTCCTGAGCGTGGTCAAACGTGTGCTGGATCCACCAGCCTGAGGACAAGAGGACAACAATAGTTATGAGACAATAGAATGTTACACAATCAGTTTTCAATGCAATAACAACAGTCTCTTTGCTTTATCCAGAGGGACTAACAGTCAGGTGATTCCGCTCAGTAAATCCAACAAAACATTGATAAAAGTGACTAAATGTACTGTAAGATGCCTGCCTGACTTTCCATACTGCCTTCTTCTGCTTACCCTCTCAACTCTGGGCTCCGTGACATCCATCGGAAACCTTCCCAAAACACAAAGACAATCATTCTCTGACACTATCTTTGACCATAGTGGATACTTGTATACTGAAATGTTCAGGTAACAGACTTTCTGTTTCTACTGATAGAAGTTGCTGCACGGTGTTGTTACTGAGGAGAAATCATGGAGATAGGCATACGGCCATACCACTTCTCTTACCTCTCATCAAGAACATTTGTCCTCATGGTTGTAGGGATGGAAAGCCATCTCTCTATGGTCCCTCTGAGCCCGTGGGACAGGATGCCAGCAGACACCCAAGAACTCAGGACAAACACCAGAGGGCTTCTTTCCTGAAATATATCAAACTCAATGTCAAATCCATAGCCGACACACTGCAGCGGAAGTGTAAAGTAACCGACATTTCCTTTGAGAAGGAGTGTTTTAATGGCTTTACCCACTTCATATGTACAGTATATACTGTATTCTAGTCATGGCTAATCCTATATACTGTAACTACTGCTGTGCACACCTTTTCTATTCATATACTGTCCATACTGTCTGTACACACCATTATATGTCTATTTATTTATATACATGATATGTAAATATAAGTGGAGGCTGCTGAGGGGAGGATGGCTCATAATAATGGCTGGAACGGAATGGAATGGCATCAAACACATAGAAACCATGGAAACCAGTGGAGGCTGCTGAGGGGAGGACGGCTCATAATAATGGCTGGAACGGAATGGAATGGCATCAAACACATAGAAACCATGGAAACCAGTGGAGGCTGCTGAGGGGAGGACGGCTCATAATAATGGCTGGAACGGAATGGAATGGCATCAAACACATAGAAACCATGGAAACCAGTGGAGGCTGCTGAGGGGAGGACGGCTCATAATAATGGCTGGAACGGAATGGAATGGCATCAAACACATAGAAACCATGGAAACCAGTGGAGGTTGCTGAGGGGAGGACGGCTCATAATAATGGCTGGAACGGAATGGAATGGCATCAAACACATAGAAACCATGGAAACCAGTGGAGGCTGCTGAGGGGAGGACGGCTCATAATAATGGCTGGAACGGAATGGAATGGCATCAAACACATAGAAACCATGGAAACCAGTGGAGGCTGCTGAGGGGAGGACGGCTCATAATAATGGCTGGAACGGAATGGAATGGCATCAAAACACATAGAAACCATGGAAACCAGTGGAGGCTGCTGAGGGGAGGACGGCTCATAATAATGGCTGAACGGAATGGAATGGCATCAAACACATAGAAACCATGGAAACCAGTGGAGGCTGCTGAGGGGAGGACGGCTCATAATAATGGCTGGAACGGAATGGAATGGCATCAAACACATAGAAACCAATTAACATGCCACCAACCTCCTGTGGTAAACATAGTTTTATTCCGTCTCTGACATCGCTCGTTCTGATATTTCTTAATTTCTTTAATTTTTCTGGATTATATGTGTATTGTATTATTAAATTTTTATTGCTAGGTATTACTGCACTGTTGGAGCTAGAAACACAAGCATTTCGCTGCACCTGCGATAACATCTGCATATCTGTTTATGCGACCAGTAAACTTTGATTTGATTTGAGAAATATATAAATACTACTTGTACCTTCCTTGCCCTGTTGACTGACTGACAGTCTTAGAGCTACAGAGTGTAAAGGCTTTTGTTCCAGTCCAGGACTAACACATGTAATTCAACTTATCAAGGAATCATCAAGATGTTGATTTGATGAGATCTCCTAAGAAATACCTGCTGGTAGCAGCAGAGCTGTAGACGCTTGATGAGTTCATTATTGGGGGTGTTCTCATCAGACCAGTGGATCACCTGGACAATAACAGAAACACACTGTACTTTGGCTTCATCGTCCCTCAGAGGTAAGACTGCATTGAGAATCAATAGGTAAAGCCTTCACTATTTTTCCTATTTTGTATATAGTATCCTATATTTATATAGGCAAGTAGTGTGGTTGGTATTTTTAAATACTAGTAACAAAATTAAGATTTTAAGTTATATGTCTAGGAATTCAGCAAGTTAAATCAGACTAAAAGTGGTAATCATAGACCCTAAAAGAAATGCATGGAGCCAAAGAGATAAATTAATGTGATCAAATAAGTATAACATAAAAAAATTAATGCTAACTTACCTTACTTATTTCTGCAATATATTTTGGCCATTTTTACAGGAATTTGATCAAACTCACATTTCATAGATTACTTTACAGGTGATAAATATTTCGCAGAATATTGTAGCCTATTTTTGGGATATTTGGGTAAAAGTTGTCATGAATTTCAGAACACATTCTAAGCCTGCACATTCTAAACCATTTATGACAAATGTTTTTGAAAACACACCAGAATTTTCACATTGTGACAGATAATGAATTCTTAATTCTATTATGACAGGTGTCTAACAGCTCTTTAAGCCTACAGTATTAGCCTGCCATTTTGACCAGGCCAAAGCTATGTTTTGGGCTACTGTATTTTGTCCAGAGTTTTTGCCATGTGACAGTTGACGCTTTATAAAGACTTTCTGAAATGAAAAACGTCCTTCTGTTATCTAAGGGAATGAATATGACAATAAGCCCTATGGCTATCTAATGACGTATCTAATGGCTATCAACCGGTAATATTGTGTTTTTTAAATATTTTTTTTATTCTTTAATGACTCACGTTCAATTCACCTTTTTTTTTTTTTATCATGCAGGTCGCAGATATAAAAGTCTAACATGACATACAGTATTAGGAAACAACCCAGCAGGTATCTGTCTCCATGTTACCGGTACAGTATGATTTATATTTAATGTACAGTATAAACATCAATATACCCGGAGAGAGTTTCTATTACATCAACCCTGAGGAAAAGGACTAGGCCTATAGTCCAAAAATGACTTAGAATCTGAGACCTTTGGGATGCTCTTTGTTTTTTAATTAATAGAGTAGCGAGGCAATATTACATTTTGGGGAGGTAGACTACATTAAAGATGCTCTTCAGGTTAAATCATTTAAAATGAACTGGTAGCCTATATTGATAGAATGGAAAAATACCATTGGCACACTGATGATTTTACAGAATAATAAAGGCTAGCTAGCACAATAGTGCCAACTTGTAGTCAGAGCTATCAGTAATGTTAATAATCAAACCCAGCGACCTTGATTCCGGTTCACCATCACATCTTGGTTTTGCATTGGCTATAGGCCTACATGCCCATTTATATTGAGGACAGAGATCAGTCCAAAGATATGGAAAGTGGAAAGGAAAACAAACAAACACACACACACACACACACACACACACACACACACACATACACACACACACACACACACACAGCTAACAGTTAATGAATAGAGCCACATACAGTAAACTCAGTCAGCACCGCTGAGGGAAAATTAGTGCCAAAATAACTTCATGCAAACATATCTAGCTGTCAAATAAACCATATTAATCATGAACTGTGTGTACAAGTAGGCTAAGGCCCAACAACAAACATACAGCGTGTCATATTCAAAATAAGCAAACATATCCAAATGTAACCTCTGAGTAATTAGCACAGGGATGGGCAACTGGCAGCCTGCAGCCCGCTCCCTTTTGAAGCCCCTTGGATCAATAAAAGAAAACAATTATAATAATAAAATAAAATACAATTCGGGGTCTCAAGTTACTGTTACAAGTTAGAATAGTAGAATGCACAATGTGCAATTTCAAAATTTGGTTGAGCATCAGCAGTTTTTCTGTTGTTAGGTCAGTCACTGATGGTCACTCAATTCGCCCATGTCAGCTAACACGTGGGTACCCAGACTCGCGAGCAACTGATGACCCTCATGATGTTTGTAGATTTTTTGTGGGCCCCACCCCCATCAAAGTTGCCCATCCCTGAACTGGCAACTTGATCCCTGGCAGTGACCACACTCTCTGAGGGTGTCTGCGGGGGAGTTGGGATATGTAAAAAACACATTTCCATTTCACACCTCACACTAATACAGGTTAACCGCGTGTACATGGAGTGAAACAGGACAAATATAAGCACTCACTATTTGACCTTTTGAGTTGAATGAAACAAAATCTACAAATTACAAACACTGGAAATAGTAGATTAAGCGTGAGTAATTGAGTAAATCCATCTCCCTCTGCCCCGTAGCAGACAGAAAACCAGGGCATTCAGTTTCTCAGCTCTACATCTATGAAACGTACTTTCAGACACTGTCAGGGTTGCTGAGTCTCTGTTTTTATATATATTTGACTCTAAATGATGTCAGCTTTCCACTACATCAGACTGGACAGAGGTTCATTTTTCAATTATTTTCATTACAATACCACTTGTGTGGAACACACACATTCATTCACAGAGAGACACACAAGCTCTCTATCACTCACTCTCTCTATCACTCACTCTCTCTATCACTCTCTCTCTCTATCACTCTCTCGCTCTCTCTATCCCTCTCTCTCTCTGTCACTCTCTGTTATATACACACATACAGAAACAGACAGACATATGGAGGGACAAACAGAGGGACGAACAGAGGGACAGACAGAAAAACCGACAGACAGAGGGACAGACAGAGAACAAGTATGATAACGAGATCAGAGACAGAGAAAGAGAAAGAGAGCAGTAGATAAGAAGAGAGAGAACAAGAGAGAGAATAAGAGAGAGAACGAGAGAGAGAACGGTAGAGAAAACGAGAGAGAGAACGAGAGAGAGAACGAGAGAGAGAACGAGAGAGAACGAGAGAGAGAACAAGAGAGAGAACAAGAGAGAGAACGAGAGACGAGAGAGAACGAGAGAGAACGAGAGAGAGAGAACGAGAGAGAACGAGAGAGAACGAGAGAGAACAGAGAGAGAACAAGAGAGAGAGAGAACGAGAGAGAACGAGAGAGAGAATGAGAGAGAGAACAAGAGAGAGAACAAGAGAGAGAACAAGAGAGAGAACAAGAGAGAGAATGAGAGAGAGAACAAGATCTAGAGACACCGGTGGGAGATGACCTAACTCTTGTGGGAGGTGTGGCATTAGCTCAGATTGGCCTGCCAGTGTCGACAGGGCCTGCCATGATTCTCATTGATTTACAGGTCCACACTTCCCATCAGCTGTATGACAGTGCAATTATAGTGTCCGCCAGGAGCCTCAGCCACTCATAGCATCCCAATGACACTCCTCTGGTGTGATCTCTCTGTGATAAAACAGAAGGAACAATGATAGTCCCACCGTGAGGCGGGATGCGTGTGCGTGCGTGTGTGATAAAGTGCGTGTGAACAAGTGTGTGTGATCAAGTGTGTGTGTGTGTGTGTGTGTTTGTGTGTGTGTGTGTGTTTGTGAGTGTGTGTGAGAGAGAGAGAGAGAGAGAGCGAGAGAGAGAGAGAGAGAGAGAGAGAGAGAGACAGAGACAGAGACAGAGAAGCTGTTTTAAAACTGTTAAAATGCTTCATTCTGTCGCCTAGGGTGTTCTAGCAGTCTAAGCCGCTGCCTCAGAATCACAAACATGTTATACTTCTGCAGCATGGGTTCGGATCCGGTCCACACTCTCCCCTCTAACTTTCCCCTCTACCTCTGTCCTATCCAATAAGCAAAAAAATATGTGAAGAGTTGGACTGCCCCACTCGTAAAAAAATGAATAAAAAAAACGCTAATCTAATATGATTGGATAGGTGAAAGTAAGGGTTCAACCTCATAGCTTTCACTAATCCAGACATGTCAAATCAGTGATTATTTATAGGAAGGGATGAAGGAAGGATGCATATTAAATCTATTTGAGCAGATCCCTTGTATAAATGGGGGCAGGAACAAAACAAGGAAGCAGTATACAGTGTCTGACCGTGTGAAGACCTTTCCTTTATATTTATCTGTGTTGTTTACACAGATGAAGAAATCTGGAATGTGCATCCTCCACTCTCTCAACTAACCCATAAGCAAATGTATGGGCACAATGTGTTGTGAGTAATCGAGAGCTTGGGACTCTAAGGTTCTATCTGCATTTCTGTCAGAATTTAGTTATTGACATAGCCTTATTCTGTTAAATATTCTCTGCCTATATAGTCCTCTAAATACCCCCAATTAATGTTGTTAAGTTCATAAGAATACAAGATCAAAAAGAATTGCTGACACCTCCATTAAAACCAATGAGGGTTTGGAACTTTATAGCCAACTACAATATCTGACTGGCTGACTTACTGCAAATTGAGAAATTAAACTCAACAAAAAGAAGAAGAAACTGTATTATGAAGCCAAGATCAATGATATAAAGAATGATGGAAAAAAACTTTGGAGTACTTCAAATTAAATGATGGGCAGAAAAACAAATTATCAAATCTTTCATCGAATCAGATGGCTTATTCGTCACAAAACCATTTGATGTTGCCAGTTATTTTAATGATTACTTCATTGGCAAAGTGGGCAAACTTAGGCAGAAAATGCCAACAACGAACATTGCAAGTTTGAATTTTGTAAAGTTAGTGTGGGAGAGGTGGAAAAATTATTTTTATCAATCAATAATGACAAACCTCCTGGCATTGACAACTTAGATGGAAAGCTACTGAGGATGGTAGCTGACTCAATAGCCACTCCTACCTGTCATATCTTTAATCTGAGCCTAGAGGAAAGTCTTTGTCCTCGGGCCTGGAGGAAAGCCAAAGTAATTCCGCTACCCGAGAGTGGTTAAGGGGCCATTACTGGTTCTGACAGCAGACCTATCAGCTTGCTGACAGCTCTTAGCAAACTGTTGGAAAAAATTGTGTTTGACCAAATACAATGCTATTTCTCTGTAAACAAATTAACAAAAGACTTTCAGCATGCTTATAGAGAAGGGCACTCAACATGTACTGCACTGACACAAATGACAGATGATTGGTTGAAAGAAATTCAGAATAAGAAGATTGTGGGAGCTGTACTGTTAGATTTCAGTGCAGCCTTTGATATTATTGACCATAACCTGTTGTTGAAAAAATGCATGTGTTATGGCTTTTCAACTGCAATATCGTGGATTCAGAGCTATCTATCTAATAGAACTCAAAGGGTTTTCTTTAATGGAAGCTTCTCTAATGTCAAACATGAAAGTGTGGTGTACCGCAGGGCAGCTCTCTAGGCCCTCTACTCTTTTCTATTTTACCAATGACCTGCCACTGGCATTAAACATAGCATGTGTGTCCATGTATACTGATGATTCAACCAAATACACATCAGCAACCACAGCTAATAAAGTCACTGAAACCCTTAACAAAGAGTTGCAGTCTGTTTTGGAATGGGTGGCCACTAATAAACTGGTCCTGAAAATCTCTAAAACTAAGAGCATTGTATTTGGTGCAAATAATTCCCTAAGTTCTAGACCTCAGCTGAATCTGGTAATGAATGGTGTGGCTGTTGAACAAGTTGAGGAGACTAAATTACTTGGTGTTACCTTAGACTGTAAACTGTCATGGTCAAAACATATAGATTGAATGGTTGTAAAGATGGGGGGAGGTCTGTCCATAATAAAGAGATGCTTTTCTTTTTTGACACCACACTCCAAAAAGCAAGTCCTGCAGGCTCTAGTTTTGTCTTATCTTGATTATTGTCCAGTCGTGTGGTCTAGTGCTGAAAGGAAAGCCCTAGTTAAGCTGCAGCTGGCCCAGAACAGAGCGGCACGTATTGCTCTTCATTGTAATCAGAGGGCAGATATAAATACTATGCATGCCAGTCTCTCTTGGCTAAGAGTTGAGGAGAGACTGACTGTATCACTTCTTCTTTTTATAAGAAACATTAACGTGTTGAAAATCCCAAATTGTTTGCATGGTCAAGAAAGCGTACAGTATTATATAGAGCCATTATTGCATGGAACTCCGTTCCATCTCATATTGCTCAAATGAACAGCAAACCTGGTTTCAAAAAACAGATAAAGCAAACACCTCACGGCACAACGCCTCTCCCCTATTTGACCTAGATAGTTTGTGTGTATGTATTGATATTTAGGCTACGTGTGCCTTTTTAAAATGTATGTAGTGCTGTCCTTGAGCTGTTCTTGTCTATTAATGTTCTGTATTATGTCATGTTTCATGTTTTGTGTGGACCCCAGGAAGAGTAGCTGCTGCTTTTGCAACAGCTGATGGAGTTCCTAATAAAATACCAAATACCCAAATCTCAGAATCATCTTTTAAAACCTTATAGTCCCAAGCTCTCATGATATAATTGTTCCAGCCACTAGGACACCATAACAGGAGACAACGGTGGGACATTTGCAAGAGAGACTGTGATTCAAACCCTACAAGAGACACATCTGTCTGTACATGACATGACATTTGGTTGATTATGGCTCCTGGGTGAGGTTTCCCCTAGGCACAGATCTAGGATCAGTTTCCCCTCCCCCATTCCTAACCTTAACCATTATTGGGGAAAACGGAGCCAAGATCAGCATCTAGTGGCAATTCACCCTACACTTTGGTCATGAAACAAACAGGAAATTGAGCAAGTAAATACAGAAACTAAATTCGGAAAAATGTTTTGAAGGAACTACAATGATATGTTTCCATATTACTTGTGTAGCTATTTGGATAGCTCCCACTGACTTTGAAGCAGACAGTAAAAACATTAATGTTGGGGAAATTGCCCAGGGTGTTTCTTCCAGACAGCTACTTGGCCTTGGGTTGCTGGGACACAGCACTATGGGTAGAGGTACACACAGATCTAGGACAATCTACAGTCTTCAGATCCTATCTTCATTAACTATTAGGGGGGATAACTCAAAACTGACCTAAGAGCAGTGTCTGATCCTACTTTTCCCTCAGTTTACTCCAGTCCAGACCAGACAGAGAGCTTCAGTTAAATCAGCGCACTTACCAAAGACTACCTGAGGGTGGTGCTTCACTGCTGATGCAGGCACAAGGTGGGAAGACTCAAAGCAGTGTTTGAGTGTAGAACTGTGGAAAGGTTTTACAGGCAGCTGGGCCCATAGATCAAATCAAATCAAATTGTATTTGTCACATGCGCCGAATACAACAGGTGTAGACCTTACCGTGAAATGCTTACTTACAAGCCCTTAACCAACCATGCAGTTTAAGAAAATAGAGTTAAGAAAATATTTACTAAATAAACTAAAGTAATTTTAAAAAAAGTAACACAATAAAATAACAATCATGAGGCTATATAAAGGGGGTACCGGTACCGAGTCAATGTGTGGGGGTACAGGTTAGTCAAGGTAATGTGTACATGTAGGTAGGGGTAAAGTGACTATGCATAGATAATAAACAGCGAGTAGCAGCAGTGGGTGGACATTTGATTAATTGATTAATTGTTCAGCAGTCTTATGGCTTGGGGGTAGAAGCTGTTAAGGAGCCTTTTCGACCTAGACTTGGCACTCCGGTACCGCTTGCCATAAGGTAGCAGAGAGAACAGTCTATGACTTGGGTGACTGGTGTCTTTGACAATATTTTGGGCCTTCCTCTGACTGGTAAATAGGTCCTGACACCGCCTAGTATATAGGTCCTGACACCGCCTAGTATATAGGTCCTGACACCACCTAGTATATAGGTCCTGACACCACCTAGTATATAGGTCCTGACACCGCCTAGTATATAGGTCCTGACACTGCCTGGTATATAGGTCCTGACACCACCTAGTATATATGGGTCCTGGCACCACCTAGTATATAGGTCCTGACACCACCTAGTTTATAGGTCCTGACACCACCTAGTATATAGGTCCTGACACCACCTAGTATATAGGTCCTGACACCACCTGGTATATAGGTCCTGACACCGCCTGGTATATAGGTCCTGACACCGCCTGGTATATAGGTCCTGACACCACCTAGTATATAGGTCCTGACACCACCTAGTATATAGGTCCTGACACCACCTAATATATAGTTCCTGACACCACCTAGTATATATGGGTCCTGACACCGCCTGGTATTTAGGTCCTGACACCACCTAGTATATAGGTCCTGACACCACCTAGTATATAGGTCCTGACACCACCTAGTATATATAGTACCTGACACCACCTAGTATAAAGGTCCTGACACCGCCTAGTATATAGGTCCTGACACCACCTAGTATATAGGTCCTGACACCGCCTGGTATATAGGGTCTGACACCACCTAGTATATAGGTCATGACACCGCCTGGTATATAGGTCCCGACACCACCTAGTATATAGGTCCTGACACCGCCTAGTATATAGGTCCTGACACCGCCTAGTATATAGGTCCTGACACCGCCTAGTATATAGGTCCTGACACCACCTAGTATATAGGTCCTGACACCACCTAGTATATAGGACCTGACACCGCCTAGTATATAGGTCCTGACACCGCCTGGTATATAGGTCCTGACACCACCTAGTATATATGGGTCCTGACACCACCTAGTATATAGGTCCTGACACCACCTATTATATAGCTCCTGACACCACATAGTATATAGGTTCCTGACACCACCTAGTATATAGGTCCTGACACCGCCTGGTATATAGGTCCTGACACCGCCTGGTATATAGGTCCTGACACCGCCTGGTATATAGGTCCTGACACCACCTAGTATATAGGTCCTGACACCACCTAGTATATAGGTCCTGACACCGCCTAGTGTATAGGTCCTGACACCGCCTAGTATATAGGTCCTGACACCGCCTAGTATATAGGTCCTGACACCGCCTAGTATATAGGTCCTGACACCACCTAGTATATAGGTCCTGCGCCTAGTATATAGGTCCTGACACCACCTAGTATATAGGTCCTGACACCGCCTAGTATATAGGTCCTGACACCACCTAGTATATAGGTCCTGACACCACCTAGTATATAGGTCCTGACACCACCTAGTATATAGGTCCTGACACCACCTAGTATATAGGTCCTGACACCACCTAGTATATAGGTCCTGACACCGCCTGGTATATAGGTCCTGACACCGCCTGGTATATAGGTCCTGACACCACCTAGTATATAGGTCCTGACACCACCTAGTATATAGGTCCTGACACCGCCTAGTATATATGTCCTGACACCGCCTAGTATATAGGTCCTGACACCGCCTGGTATATAGGTCCTGACACCACCTAGTATATAGGTCCTGACACCACCTAGTATATAGGTCCTGACACCGCCTAGTATATATGTCCTGACACCGCCTAGTATATAGGTCCTGACACCGCCTAGTATATAGGCCCTGACACCACCAAGTATATAGGACCTGACACCACCTAGTATATAGGACCTGACACCGCCTAGTATATAGGTCCTGACACCGCCTAGTATATAGGTCCTGACACCGCCTAGTATATAGGTCCTGACACCGCCTGGTATATAGGTCCTGACACCACCTAGTATATAGGTCCTGGATGGCAGATGAAGATAAAGATGACCTTTTTGTTTACACATTTCACTCTTCATGCAGCCTTCACTAAACAAGTCTTAAGACTTGTTTTGATTACGACTCTCACTGAGACCACTAAATATTGTGCATGTACGAAGAAACTACTTTCTGTGATGTATATTGGTTGTGGTTGTTGGTAAGACACTAGAGGTGGATGTGTAGTCTGTCCTGACAAAGTCCTGTGCATGAGTTGAAGAGTGGAAGAAGCTTCAACGTGGATGAAAAAAGGAAAAGAGAGAGACCCTGCTCAAGGATACTTTCATTAGAAGTAGGAATAGGCTAGGTGACCAACAAGGTCTTCTTCTTGGGTGCTCAGACTTTATTGAGCAAACATTGGACCACTAATGAGATAGCATGCCTTATGCATCATTCACCACTTCCTCTTCCTCTAAATAAGGTGACGTTCAATTAAATGTCAGTGTAGTTTAGTTTCTAATCTGCCTCACTGCATGTAACTGTAACACACACGTACACACACACACGTACACACACACGTATGCATGCATGCATATACACACACGCGCGCGCGCAGACACACATATGTATGTATGCATGCACGCACGCAAACACACTCACACACATATGCATGCGTGCACATACAGACCCACACACACATACACTCACATAATATGTATGACACACGCCCAGCTTCATCACATGAAATGCATTTATTTATTTTAAGATATAAGCATTGAGAAATTAATTATGCAAGAGAACGGTTAATTTAGAGTAAACTGCAGCCTAGCCCAGGGGAGCTCCGTTTTTTTTTATAGTTCAGTGTTGTGACAGACAGTAGATACCCTCTAACCAATAACAGCCACCACACGTATTGTCACGTTCGTTTAAAGACGGGTCAGACCAAGGCGCAGCGTGAAATGCGTACATGTTTATTTAAATGATAAACACACGAACAAAACAACAAACCAACGAACCGTGAAGTCCTAAGGCTGAACACTAAACAAGCCTCCACACAGAACAAGATCCCACAACTAACGAGTGCCAACAGGCTGCCTAAGTATGATCCCCAATCAGAGACAACGAGTGACAGCTGCCTCTGATTGGGAACCACACCGGCCAACATAGAACTACACATACTAGAATTTACACATAGATATACACAACATAGAAAACCACACCCTGACTCAACATATAAGAGTCCCCTGAGTCAGGGCGTGACACCTATCAGGAAGTAGGAAGAGACAAGCTTAGAGTTTATGATTAATCCACTGTTTATCCAATCCACAATGGTACAGCTCCAGGAGCTAAATCTAGGTTGAATGAAAATGTTAGCGTGACAGGGAACTTTAAAGGACAAAATGTCAAATCATTCATCAAACAACTTGTTATTGTATTAAATACAACCTGTTATTTTATTACAGAGTGATGACCACATCTGATTCACTATTCAGAAATGTTGACAAAATGGATGTTATATACTGTAGTTCCATGTTAATAACATTGTTGTTGTTTAAAAAAAAAAAAATATTACTATGCAATTGTTTTCATTAAGGACAAACACAGTGGGATAGTGGGTGTAGTAAGATATTCCTAAAAGTCCAAACAAATGAGGATGACAAGAAGGAAATAATTCCATGTGTTTTATTCCCACTGTATAGGAATGCTTTACACAATCTATTTTATTGGTCTTGCAGTGCTGTGTTTTTATCATGAGTTCAGGATGATGGTTTTATGGCGTCATTCATTGTGCCAAAGGACAAGCTTACTTCTCAAGGTTAGACAATAGGTTACTGTGTTGGTGACAGAGACAGTGTGAAGGGGCTCACTCACATTTGCACTGCGTAAACTCTTGAGAAAAAGCATAGGCTAGCCTACATCAATTTGTCACGGCCTTCACTGCGCCTAGGGAGCGACGGATTCACTTCAATTGACGTCCCCTTTCTATTGACGCGCTGAGGCATTCAGGGACTTACCGGAAACCAAACTTTTTTTCTTCAAACTTGTAGCTGAGTCGAAAGTGGTCGAAAGAGGAAAGAAAGAGACGAGACCGTTCAGCGTCAAAACTTGTACAGTTCCTTATTTTCTTCCAAAGCTTCGCGTCATGTTGTATATTAGTTGGTTGCTGTCTAAAAGAAGTGAAATACCGACTTTTTGTCAAGGATAAGGGCCGCCGTCGAGTGTTATTCCTCCACATATAACGGATCATCGTTTTTTATCATGGAAGACGTGAGTATTCAGTCTATTGCATTGGTCTGATGGGCGGCATTGGTGGAATCTCGGTAGGCTATGGTTGGTTTTAAATTAAATTAAGGCTACAGGTCTAATGAAAGTTTAACCTTAGTAAAGATTCTTACATTTTCTCAGTGCAGACATGGGTCAATCAAAACACTCACGGAGGAGTAGGAAAGTAGTCTAAAACTCATCATCATTCAAGGTCAGAAAAAAAAGAGTAAAATGTGCAATGTAGCCTAGATATAAAACAATCTTCAGTTTATTGGATGGACACTGCACACTACAACAAATATTTTCACTGAGTAACAAATAGCCTATTGAAGTATCGGCGCAGAAAATAATACTTTGTGTTTCATCAAACTGATATGCTATGCGCCAGTGCGCCAAAAGGCTCCAACGCATTGTACTTTTCACTGTTCAAACTCAGGTGCCAGAAGTTGTTAAAGCCACGCACCTGACAACCTGTTGCTTTCAGCGGTAGCTGCTACTCAGGCATTTACAGGGGTCTCTCTCGCCCCTCCGCTGCTTCTTCCGGGCTGGGTGCTGCCCCTGTAGCCATGGAGATGTTAGGGAGGAGGAGGGGTTAATAACAGTATTTTTACATTGTAATAACTACATTGTAGCCTACATTGTAGCTATTTGGATACATTGTAGCCTACAGGGTTGGGTAGGTTACTTTCTTAAATGTAATCCGTTACAGTTACTAGTTACCTGTCCAAAATTGTAATCATTAAGGTAACTTTTGGATTAACCAAACTCAGTAACATAATTGGATTACTTTCTATTTCTTTTTGATTACTTTCCCCTTAACAGGCATTGGAGGAAGACAACAATTATCCATCAAACGCATTTGGTGTGTCATCATAGTGGTCTCTGAATTTGAGGTCAGACTTGCTCAGGTGGAACAAACTTAAACTTGCGCCTTTTTTCAATGCTGATTTGAATGTCATTGAGAAAACAGAAAGATGTCATAATTTAATTTTGTTGCAAACATCCTTTCTGAATTTAAAAATAATCCAAGATGTAATCGTCTAGTTTTTCAAAAGTATCTGTAATCTGATTACAATCGTTTTGCTGGTAAAGTATCTGATTACAGTTACAGTTATTTTCAAATCAGATTACATGTAACCCAACCCTGAGCCTACATTATAACCTACTGTTTAGATAAACTGTAGCCTACCCCTCCAGTACAGTAACTGATCCAGTGTCAGCTCTTGGGTTACGCTCTTAATGAATATGTTGGGGTAGGCCTATGTGGTATGGAGAGCTGATCAGTTATCGAATGTGAACAAAGTCACCATGCCTACAACCATGGTCAGTAGGCCTACACCGCAGTGTTGTCTGGGGATGCAATGCAGCTTGGGTCAGACTGAAAGAACTACTGAGTCACCTAATAAGGAGGGCTCTCGTCCTATCCTGAATGAGTGTCCTTCAATTCAAGAGCAATTCCAAATAGGGTAGTTAGAATGGAAGAAGATGCACATGTACTGCTTTTAAAACTGAATCTGGATGCCAATTTTCCCTTCTTTTGTTTTACACATGAAATAATTGACTGAAGTTAAAAAGAGTAGGCCTAAACTGACAAGCATTGAGTTGTGTGTTTTGAAGCTGTCTTTATGGGATAAATAGGCCTGCAGTATGTGCAACAACTCATATAGCAGCTCAGAGTTGCAAGACGTAGATGACAGTGAAGCGAGTTTCAGGAAGCTGCTACTAGAAAGAGGAAGTCGAACAGAGCAGTAAAACAGTAAATCAATACCAATAGGCTACTTTGCAACTTTTTGCACACACACAACCTTTTACACACACAACTCTTTACACACAAAACACACACACAAACACACGCTGGTGCACACGCACACACACACACACACACACACATGCACACACACACGCGATGCAGTGAAAACTCTTGTCAGAGTAGCCTATAATCTCTATTAACCCAGAAGTAAAACCTTGCATAATTTGATCAGCTGCGTCATTAACTTCTGTGTTCATACGTGTTAGAAATTGAGAGTTCTGGCAGAAACAAAGTGTCCACCTCGCAACAAGAAACTCTCAACCAAAGCCCCCCCTCCCCTTCCGATCTGTGTGGGCACAGGCGCGAAGCACTCGAGGCGAAGCAGTTAAAGCACCGCCTTCACCCATTCCTGATACGTCCAAATAACCAGTGACAAAACCCTAAAAAACTTCACTAATGCTACTGTTACCTCACGCATCCCAGTCAGTCCTGGCAGATTCTCTCAGTTTACACGCAGAATCTGCCCACGGGAGATTAAGTAGTATAACCAGATATGGTGCTTTTTGGAGCACCTCTCAGCTATATAAACATTGATTTCAAACAACTGTATCACAATTGAGGTGGGACAATTGAGATCAAAAGAAAATGTTCTTAGTGACCTCAGAAGACCCCTTGCACACATAGGGTTAGCCTATCAGCACAATCCTGATACAATAGTGTAGTATTAGTGTAGTATTAGTGTAGTCCTACATTAATAACCAGAGTGCAGGGGTGAGCTATGAATCTAAGGACCACCATGCAGTCAGGGTTTATACTACAGGGGTGCCTAGAACTCCCATAACAAATCAGGGCACGTTCATAAACATTAAATATTAACACAGCACCCCCAGAAGTGTTAAAGGTACAACCTATAATTTGACCAGCCTGACCCTGCCACTTGGTTTGGTAAACTGAGGGATGAGGCTGGAGAAATGTAACCACTCTCATATTCAGATGGATCTATGAATGCCAAGACTAACAGTCCATGAGAATGACTTATAGTGTTAACCATATTTTCAAGCTATACATTGTTTGTTTACAAAGGTTTATTGTAAAGACCAAGGGCCAGTTTCATGGAAACTGACTTTTAGTCCTGGACTAGGCTTAGGCAATCAAGTCAGCATCACTATGTTTTCACATCCAGTATAACTGTATGAACAGCTGGACTAGCCACACTGAATGCCCTATATGTAGCTGTACTAATGTGATCTTAATTGGTAAATGAAAGACCCTATTAGGTAGGACTGGCGGATAGGGTTCAGCTGTGTGTCTGTGCAGTCTCTCTTGGTAGACGTTTCCCATAGCAGATCTAGGATCAGCTTACCCTACCCACACATTTCACCTTAATCATTAGGGTTAAAAACTCAAAACTGTCCTCAGATCAGTGTCCATGGGCGACTTCATTCTAGTCCTCTGAGTCACAGTGAGTGTGAGCAGTAGGTTGACAGGCCGTACCTCGTGGGCTGGGTTTATATACGGCGGTGTGGCTGGACAGCATCTGGCTGCTCAGTGAAGGCGACTGCCTGGCTAACTGCCTGTTATACACAGCCAGCTGTTTTAGCACTCTGCCCCCCCCCCCCCCCCCCCTCACTTCAGTCTATCTTTCTATCTCTCACTCTGTCTGTGTTTCTCTACCCCTCACTTTATCTCTCTGTCTGTCCCCCCCCCTCTCACACACACTCAGACACACACACATAGACACACACACACTGCTGTTGCTGAATGTCCTGGAACGCATGAAACAGACGAAAACAATTAACCCTCTTTGACCACCGCTCAGCCCTGTGCTGTACAATAGCCCATTTCTGACCGTCATTCCCCGGCATTTGGGCTTGTGCTGCACAATGGTTGTGTGTGTGTCAGTGTGTGTGACTGAGTTCCCTCTGAAACTTTGATGGTGTTGTTGATAAGTGTGTGTGTGTGTGTGTGTGTGCAAGAGGGTATTGCTTTGGGACTTCCTCTTGTTTGTTAGCATTTTTGAGAGCTCTACATCTCTCCTATTCCCCACTCTCTCACCTCTCCCACTTCCCCTATTCCCCACTCTCTCACCTCTCCCACTTCCCCTATCCTCACCTCTCACTTCACCTCTCCCCACTCTCCCACTCCCCACTCTCCCACTCTCCCCCTCTCCACCTCTCCCACTTCCCCTCTCCCCCCTCTCTCACCTCTCCACTTCCCCTCTCCCCCACTCTCTCACCTCTCCCACTTCCCCTATTCCCCACTCTCTCACCTCTCCCACTTCCCTATTCCCACTCTCTCACTTCCCTTCCCCACTCTCTCACCTCTCCCACTTCCCCTATTCCCCACTCTCTCACCTCTCCCCCGCTCTCTCACCTCTCCCACTTCCCCTCTCCCCCGCTCTCTCACCTCCCCCACTTCCCCTATTCCCCGCTCTCTCAAAGGAAACTAAGGTGTCTTCTCTCCTCTATCTCCCCTTCCCTGATAGCTAGCTAAGTCAACCAGTGGAAAGCGGAGACCTTGTTAACTCAGATGATGTTGATTAGGGCGTGTGGTGAGTTCAAGCCGGGCAGGTCAGCATGGAACTCAATTCATCCCAGATGGAGCCTTCTCCTCCCTATTTAAGACTTGATAAGGAACACATGTTGGCTAAGGTGTGTCTTTTTTAAGGCCTTGAAATGAGGCCTCGTCGGCCCATTTGGGATGGTTATTGAGAGAGTTGTAAAGTGAATCCGATATTGCGAAGGCGTAAGAAAAGTGAGCTTTTTGGTTTGGTTTGGTCTTGGTTTTTGGGTTAGGTTTTCTCATGCGAAATGCGAATTTGGAGGACACAATAACAAAGCTTGGCCCAATACAGTTTTATATTAATTGTGCATTTGCTTGTCTTATTTGAAACATCCTCAGAAAGGCACAAACTTGTGTGAACATCAACTTCATAATGCTACACTTGTCATTACATGCTAGCATACAACAGTCATTATCAGATGTAATTTTGGGATGTCCACTGATTAACCAAGCATCTCTTGCTGTGGGTGTCAAGATGTGGTAAAGCTGAAAGCTATAGTGCAAAACAGACCCTCTTCCTGTTCTAGTCCATATTTGGAGCTGTTACACATACTAGCATGTTCAGCTTGGCTAACTAGCTTATACTGCTAAAGTTGCTTGCAACAATGGCCGACACAGAGCTCTGTCAGCCTCCAACCAGTAAGCTCAGTTGGGAAAATTAGCCGACATGGTTAATGTTGCCACATGCTACTATGTTGTATGAAGAGAGTCCATTCAACTGTTGCACCTAACAGCATTCTCTCACTTTAGCTAACTATGCTAGCTAATGTTAAGCTGCACAATGGAAGACACAGAGAGTCAAGCCAACTGTGCTCTAATGCAAAAACATATCTTCTGTAAAGGTGCTATCTAGAACCTAAAAGGGTTCTTCGACTTTCCCCAGAGGAGAACCCTTTGAAGAACCCTTTTTGGTTCCAGGTGTCACGATCGCTTAAGGAGGGAGACCAAGGCGCAGCGTTGAAAGTGAACATATTCTTTTATTATACTGATCACACGATCAAAAACAATAAACGAAAACGTGACGTCTACGGTTTAACACGAACCGAAATGAACAAGAAACCACAAACACAACGTGAAAGACAGATAGTTAAATATGGCTCCCAATCAGAGACAACGAGCCAACAGCTGACACTCGTTACCTCTGATTGGGAGTCACTCAAACAAAGAAATACAATAACCTAGACCCACAACAAAACATAGAAACTAACACCCTGGCTCAACATACGAGAGTCCCCCGAGCCAGGG